TGTTGTGTAGTCTCACTAGATCTCATAACTTGTACATGGCTAGATACATTTTGCCTGCGTGCCTAATTTGTAACCCTTTGAAAATAAATAAAGTTTTTCTGTTGTGTGGTTGCAAAAGATCCCATAGTTTGTACAAGGCTAGATACAGCTTGCTCTGATGTGGGGTAGCAAAAGATCCCATAGTTTGTACAAGGCTAGATACAGCTTGTTCTGTTGTGGGTTAGCAAAAGATCCCATAGTTTGTACAAGGCTAGATACAGCTTGTTCTGTTGTGGGGTAGCAAAAGATCCCATAACTTGTACAAGGCTAGATACAGCTTGCTCTGTTGTGGGGTAGCAACAGATCCCATAGTTTGTACAAGGCTAGATACAGCTTGTTCTGTTGTGGGGTAGCAAAAGATCCCATAACCTGTACAAGGTTAGATACAGCTTGTTCTGTTGTGAGGTAGCAAAAGATCCCATAGTTTGTACAAGGCTAGATACAGCTTGTTCTGTTGTGGGGTAGCAAAAGATATCATAGTTTGTACAAGGCTAGATACAGCTTGTTCTGTTGTGGGGTAGCAAAAGATCTCATAGTTTGTACAAGGCTAGATACAGCTTGTTCTGTTGTGGGGTAGCAAAAGATCCCATAGTTTGTACAAGGCTAGATACAGCTTGCTCTGTTGTGGGGTAGCAAAAGATCCCATAACTTGTACAAGGTTAGATACAGCTTGTTCTGTTGTGGGGTAGCAAAAGATCTCATAGTTTGTACAAGGCTAGATACAGCTTGTTCTGTTGTGGGGTAGCAAAAGATCCCATAATTTGTACAAGGCTAGATACAACTTGTTCTGTTGTGGGGTAGCAAAAGATCCCATAGTTTGTAAAAGGCTAGATACAGCTTGTTCTGTTGTGGGGTAGCAAAAGATCCCATAACTTGTACAAGGTTAGATACAGCTTGTTCTGTTGTGGGGTAGCAAAAGATCTCATAGTTTGTACAAGGCTAGATACAGCTTGTTCTGTTGTGGGGTAGCAAAAGATCTCATAGTTTGTACAAGGCTAGATACAGCTTGTTCTGTTGTGGGGTAGCAAAAGATCCCATAGTTTGTACAAGGCTAGATACAGCTTGCTCTGTTGTGGGGTAGCAAAAGATCCCATAACTTGTACAAGGTTAGATACAGCTTGTTCTGTTGTGGGGTAGCAAAAGATCTCATAGTTTGTACAAGGCTAGATACAGCTTGTTCTGTTGTGGGGTAGCAAAAGATCCCATAGTTTGTACAAGGCTAGATACAACTTGTTCTGTTGTGGGGTAGCAAAAGATCCCATAGTTTGTAAAAGGCTAGATACAGCTTGTTCTGTTGTGGGGTAGCAAAAGATCCCATAACTTGTACAAGGTTAGATACAGCTTGTTCTGTTGTGGGGTAGCAAAAGATCCCATAACTTGTACAAGGCTAGATACAGTTTGTTTTGTTGTGGGGTAGCAAAAGATCCCATAACATGTACAAGGCTAGATACAATTTGTTCTGTTGTGGGGTAGCAAAAGATCCCATAGTTTGTACAAGGCTACATACAGCTTGTTTTGTTGTGGGGTAGCAAAAGATCCCATAACTTGTACAAGGCTAGATACAGCTTGTTCTGTTGTGGGGTAGCAAAAGATCCCATAGTTTGTACAAGGCTAGATACAGCTTGTTCTGTTGTGGGGTAGCAAAAGATCCCATAACTCGTACAAGGCTAGATACAGCTTGTTCTGTTGTGGGGTAGCAAAAGATCCCATAACCTGTACAAGGCTAGATACAGCTTGTTCTGTTGTGGGGTAGCAAAAGATCCCATAACTTGTACAAGGCTTGATACAGCTTGCTCTGTTGTGGGGTAGCAAAAGATCCAATAACTTGTACAAGGCTAGATACAGCTTGCTCTGTTGTGGGGTAGCAACAGATCCCATAACTTGTACAAGGCTAGATACAGTTTGTTCTGTTGTGGGGTAGCAAAAGATCCCATAGTTTGTACAAGTCTAGATACAGCTTGTTCTGTTGTGGGGTAGCAAAAGATCCCATAACTTGTACAAGGCTAGATTCAGCTTGTTCTGTTGTGGGGTAGCAAAAGATCCCATAACTTGTACAAGGCTAGATACAGCTTGTTCTGTTGTGGGGTAGCAAAAGATCCCATAGTTTGTACAAGGCTAGATACAGCTTGTTCTGTTGTGGGGTAGCAAAAGATCCCATAACTTGTACAAGGCTAGATACAGCTTGTTCTGTTGTGGGGTAGCAAAAGATTCCATAACTTGTACAAGGCTAGATACAATTTGTTCTGTTGTGTAGTTTAGAAGGACCCTTACCCCCCTCCCCCACAGATTGTATAAACATGGACTGGGCAAAAGTATTAATTGTGTGTGTGTGTGTCTTAAGTCTCAACGGATACCACCTGAATACAATTGTGTGCCGTCTCAACAATAAAGGTTGTCTGCAGTGTATTTAGGAATATTACTATAATTACGGAGACACGCACACATCTCTTTCACAGCACATCTCTTCCACAGCACATCTTTCACACAGCACATCTCTTCCACAGCACATCTCTTACACAGCACATCTCTCCCACAGCACATCTCTCCCACAGCACATCTCTCCCACAGCACATCTCTCCCACAGCACATCTCTCACTCAGCACATCTCTCACACAGCACATCTCTCACACAGCACATCTCTCCCACAGCACATCTCTCCCACAGCACATCTCTCCCACATCACATCTCTCACACAGCACATCTCTCACACAGCACATCTCTCACACAGCACATCTCTCCCACAGCACATTTTGTGCACTGTCTGAAAGTGGTGGTAACGTTGAAAAAAACACACACACACACACACACACACACACACACACAACTGTCCCCGTGGAAATCGAACCGTCATATTTCGAGAATTAAATGTGCATACAAACACAAAACAAAGTTACTGTCATACAAAAGTAAACATATACAGACATACTCAAAACAAAGTTACTGTCATACAAAACTACAAATATATAGATATACTCAGAACAAAGTTACTGTTTTGCAAAAATAAAAAAAAATAGATATACTCAAAACAAAGTTACTTTCGTAAAAAAAAAAGTAAAAATATACAGACATGCTTAAAAAAAGTTACCATGATACAAAATTAAAGACATACAGACATGCTAAAAAAAAGTTACCATCATACAAAAGTAAAAATTTACAGTCATACATAAAACAAACTTACAAGCAGATACGTACAAGCTACAGTCATACACAAAACAAAGTAACAGCGAGATATGTAAAAGTTAAAGTTTATACGCAAAACACATTTACACTTGCACACAAATCATAATTACACTTTTGCAACCCCCTTTTTCTCTTCCTTCTCCCCGAAAAATAATTACACTTTTGCAACCCCCTTCTTCTCTTCCCCCTCCCCGAAAAAACCCAACTAAAGTTAAAATCATATACGAAAGTCAGATTCATATACGAAACATATACAATAATACGCCATTTACAGTGAAACAAAACAAAGCTACATTCCGACAAAAACCAGCCTATACCTGCCAACAGAAGAGGGACTGCTCTCCAAAAGCATTCATCTGTTGGTACGTGGCCCCAGTGTAGGTCACCGGATATGTGACTGGCTTTCTCTTGTTGGTGACAACTACCGGTGTCAGCCACATACCAGCTAGTGAGATCTGCAGGAAAAGTACGATGTAGAAACCTTGAATAACATCCCATAACAAAGAATAGGCACTTGCTTATGGCATGTTCACCTCCATCGTCTTCGTCATCATGATCATCATAGTCCTCCTCATCATTATTATCATCATCATAGTCATCGAATCATACCGTCCAGTCGTTATCTGTGCTGACAAAGACGGTACTATCGAACACATTTAATACAGTTTGACCCTTGTCGAACAAAAGTGAACTTGTGGTATCACACCGCAAGTTGTGGTGTTTTAAACATAAATTCTGCATCAATATTTTCGGTTCTGGCATTGTGTTGAACCTTAAAAAAAAAACAAAGTGATTGGGAGTGTACTGAGAATAAGCGTGAGGCATCGTTGATGCAAATGTACAGTCTAACGGGATTGGTCACATACGCTTTTGTTTTCAAAAACCAGTGTAAGAATTGTAAGAATGGTGGGAAATAATAGTAAGTAAGTAAATTTACCCCACCAGGACATCACACAGAGAGACAAACACCCGGACACACCTAGTGTCACTATGCGGATGAGGATCACCTGTGGAGAGGTCACAGTAACCCCGTTCAACCGTTAGACCCTTTTTATGGCCCGGCTATGTTTAGGGCCCCCGGCAAAAGCCAGGGTGGGGCTTCAAATAACGAAAAATTGCATCCCATATGGGGACGACTGGTATAACACAGGAAATATAAGCATTAGGAAATAATAGTGCAAAAACATCCGCATAAAGCTGAAAATACACTAGACAAATTGTGGTTTACAATTTCAGAAGAAAAATGTGGGGATGAAAATCGCTTTTCATTTATATCAAAACGTATGCCTAGCCTTTTGGCATTATCTCATTTCTCTGCAGCTGTAGAAAGAGTTTTTTCTTTAGCTTTACAATATAAGGATTTAAAAAAGTCAATCTTCTTTGAAGACTTCAACAACAGACGTATTGACAGATAAGATCAAAGCTATTGCTCCAGACATTAACGGCACCAAACAGAAGCCGCCACAACAGCTTTATAACAAACTGAGCAAAAAAAAAAAAAAAATCATTGTAAGGCTTCACCTAACATTTCACACACACCTCCATAACACTGTTAACGAGTTCTTATTGCAGGACAACAACTATATGACCACGACGGTCACACGTGGAATATTTTCACATTTCGGGTCTATTCAAACCCCAAAACTGTTTTCCGAACTTTTCGGCAAAGTAAAATACTCAACATTTTAAAACTATAAATGATGGTGGTCTTTTTAGTTAGTTAGTTAGTTAGTTAGTTAGTTAGTTGGGTTATCGTCATTGCACTCCGGACATGTCCATAGGTGCTCAGATCCTCCCCTCAGTATGAACCCCAACGTCCGATGGCAAATAGTACCAGTTCTATGTTGATTAACAAGTCTTCTGACGTGTCCGGTGTGCGACTCGTTTTTTGCTGTGCCGATCTTAATTCCCAAGTCTGCCATTCTGGCGAGTGATGTGGATTCACTGCCACCAAAGTCCTCTATCCTTCCCATTTCTCTGAGGGCATTGATAATATCAGCATGATCCATAGGCCGACCGTCGGTAGTGATAGCGGATCCAGCCAACCTGTCAGCTCTTTCATTTCCATCGACGCCTGCGTGTCCCGGAACAAAAATAAAGGTGACTCAAGCCATTGTCTTCGCACTGAACCTGCCTGAACCCTCCGATAACATCTTCTGCCCGACCTAGCCACGATTTTCCCCTCTTCAGTCTGTCGCCCTTTTCACTAAAAAGCGCTTGATGCAGTGGGTGTTTCTTATCAGCACATATTTTGAGGTATGCCCGAGCCCTCCACATTCTGATCCTTTGGTTCATTGTTGGAAAGTCAAGTAGATACCTCATTGCTTCACAGGATGTGTCTCTTGTACATCCCAAAATAATGCGCATGGCTTCATTTTGCACCTTTTCGAGTCTTTCAATCTGGGTAGCACTGACAGTGAGGATGGCCAGAGCGTATTCAATGGGTGAAAGGACCAGACCGTAGAATAGAAGTATTAGTAGTCTTTGCTCGATATTGGAAGCAGCCATAATCCTCATTGCAGATAGACCTTTGCGTGCTTTTGTTATCACATGGTCAACGTGTTCCCTGAATGACAAGCTGCGATCGAACCTCACCCCGAGAAACGTCATAACGTTGGTTCTGATCAATATATTATCACGCATTTTCACTTCGGGTAAGTCCGACTTGACAATGTGATTGTTCAAAGAGAACCATGACACTGATGCCTTCGAAGGATTGACATAGGCATTGGAACCATCACACCAGGCGGCAATTCGATCGAGTTCTTTGTGCATTGTGCTGGCGATCTCCTGTCTATCACGCCCTCGTCGATAAATCAAAATGTCATCAGCAAATGACAAAGTCCTTCCCTTTCCATTCAACTGCTGCTCAGTGATCATCACCGTATAAACGTTGAATAAGACAGGTGATAGCGGTGATCCCTGTGGCAAGCCTGGACATATCGTTTGCGGTTCTGAGGACCAGCTACCACATCTTAGTACAATCTTTCTCTGGAACAGGACCGCAGCAATCCAGCGGATCAGAATAGGATTGACTTCTAGTTTAAGCAGTAATTGCATTAAATATTCGTATGGTACTTTATTGTAGGCATCTTCTAAGTCCAACACTGCCGCACATGTCTCTTCTTTAATCTGAAATCCCTCGTACACATCGTAGGCGAAAACAGCAGCATTGAACCATGTCTCTTTCTTCAACCTGTACCCTCCAAGTGTTGATGGGAACTTATCATGTAGTTCCAAGTAGGTGGTCAATCTTTGTGCGACAATTTTTTCCCAAAGTTTGCCAACAGTATTCTGCATCGAGATGATTCTGTAGCCGCAGATCTTTGAGTGGTCTTTATTAGGCTTTGGTAGTGGGAACAAATAACTATGGAGCCATTCCTCTTGTATCTGGCCACTCTGGATGCTGATATTGAATTCCTTTGCCACGCTTTTCAAATCAGCATTCGACATCATCAGCATGTCATTGTATCGGATGCCGTCAGGGCCTGGAGCAGCGCTGCGCGATTTCTTGAGGCAAGTTCTTAAGGTGTCTGCAGTGATTGTGAAATCAGTGCCTAGCTCAGTGTTCTCGCACAGCATCGACAGTTTCATCTTAACCCCTATTCTTGCAGCTTCGTCTTTTTGGTCAGTTTGCTCCAAGTAGCGCGCAAGAAGGGTTTTTCCTTTATCAGCATCAGTTCTCTGCCATATCAGGTCTGTACCCTGAAAATCAGGGATACCCCTTGGTCGTGCGGCGCCGTGCATGCTCCGTTGAAGACGCCAGAATGTCACAAGAGATCCCTCGGAGCAAACGCTCTTGCAGAATTCGTTTAATTTCGCTGTCTTGGCTTCTTTGGCAATTAACTTGAAAGCCACTGTCCGCTTGTTAACCTCATCTTTTAGACTGATCAGGCGTTCAGAAAGTGACGGATCAATTTTCCTTGCCTTTTGCCATGCCTTGACAGCGTTCCTTTTTTCTAGCCACGCCATGTTGACTACTTCATTCCACCATGGTGGCTGGGCCCATCTCTCCCGCCGTCTGCGATCTGCTCTTGTTTTACGTCGTCTGATTTTGCTAATGGCATCTTGCCCTGTACGGTCATATAGAAAAGCAGGCACATTGATTACATGACCTTTGTTGTTGCTCTTCTCCACCAGGACGACGCAAGGAAAGTGATCACTGTCATGGTATCCCAGTGTGCTCCACCTGCATCCTGATGCAATGGAGGGAGACACTAGGGCCAGGTCAATTACGCTGTCAGAATCCCCTTGTCGGGTTGCCATTCGGGTAACCTTTCCGTCGTTCAAGCATACTAGATCGGCAGACACTAGGGCATCCTCCAGGTCTTCCCCCTGTTTATTGGTGATTACATTGCCCCACTGGTTTCCTCTGGCGTTGAAATCTCCGCAGTAAAGGACTTTCTTTTCCTCCGTCTGGAGCAAACTCTGCCATTTCGCTGTATCCACCTTTCCATTGCAGGCGTACACATTGACAATCACAAACTGGGCCGGGCCCAACACTCTGTAGGTACTAGTGTACTAGTAGGTCGTCATTATCCCACTCAGACATGTCCACCTCAGACACCGGTATGTTGTCACGAACAAGAATGAGCTGTCCGAGGTGCCGTCTATTGTAGAAGGATTGGAAGCCCGCAATTTTAACGATCTCGTCACCGAGGTGTGTTTCCTGTAGGACAACAATGTCGTTGCTGTAGAGGAGCTTCTCAAAAATGGGTCGGCGTTGACTGAACGAAGCGCAGTTCCAGTAGAGAACGCGAACATATTTTAAGCTGAGTCTCTCACATTTCAGTCGCTTCCTGCAGGCGCCACCGTGCTTGCCTGTTCGCGTTCTCCTTGTCCGTCTATGGGTTGTTTTGAATTGGTGAATAGTCGCCATCGGACGTTGAATACACCCTGAGGGAAGTCTGAACTCACGTGCATGTACTCCATTGCACGGTTCAGACCCCATTCCGATGAAACTTTCACATTATACGTGAGCGAAAATAGTTAATTTGCGCCATTCGCCTCAACGGACGAAAAAGCGTACCGCCATTGTGGCTGTTTACACCGGAAGTTCTGATGGTGGTCTGACATGGAGGAAGGAAGCATTAAGCCCGGAGACGGCGCAATTACCAGAACTTTAGCCACGAAAATGGCACAAATAAACAAGACCACAAATATAGCCGGAGACTGTAGGCAGCTTCGGCTAGCTAGCAGCAGGTTCAACGTTGTTGTGTTTTGATTGTTTCTTAAAAGGTTTTGGAATTGAATGGGAACAAGAAAAATAAACGAATAGTACAGCAATGTTGTAATAAAAAATAATTGCAGTTCTGATCAAATATGGAGTAAAGTAAAAGACATTTTTTCCACGCTTTCAGGCGAATTAGGCATATAGGGCTAGACTTTTCTTTTTAGACCAATCGGTACTTGGTAGGCGATGTGCTCACCAACACATCAGCCGCCTGTACTTTCAGGGAATTTATCTGGTACCCACTTAAAGCTGGGTCTACATGGGAGCCAAGGTAATGGTTGGAAAAATTCAGAAATCGATATCCAGTACTCCAGGATCATAACATTGTTAAACTCACTCACTAACCTCCAAGCCAGGCTTGTTTAACTGCATTTACTCAGGGGCTAGAGTGTTTGAACTGGGGATACGCATGGGAATAGAGGCACCAGCTCCTACGCAGAAGGTTCATTATTGCAATACAAGCTGACCATGATCCGCGGGCCACTCGCTAGTCATCTGCCGGCCGGATTCAGCCAGCGGACTGGCAGTTGAATAGCCCTGCTCTAAGCCATACTGTCGCATATAATGTTTTTTTTCACAAGAACAAATACAATACTGCGTCAATATGACAAATAACAGACAAGCCAAATTCACTCTTTTGCAAATCAACTTCTCCATTTTGCAAATCAAACTCACCCATTTGCAAATCAAATTATTTTGTTTGCATATCAAATGTAATCCTTTTGTAGAATCACATTCCCCATTTTGCAAACCAAATTCACCCTTTTGCAAATTAAATTCTACCATTGCAAACGGATCAGTTTGATTTAGAAGTAGATTTTTACCACACTAAGACATCACACAATAAACACCCGATGACACAAAGTGCCACCATGTAGATGAGGATCACCTTGGAGAGGTCCCATAAACCGCGTTCAGCCATTAGACCATATTTATGGTCGGGCTATATTGCGGCTCCTGGCAAGAGCCAGAGTAGGGCTTAAAAAAAATTGCATCATAGAAGTGAATAACAGAAGTAAATAAAATAATTTGATTTGCAAAAGAGGGGAATTTAACTTGCCAATCCTGTAAAACAGAAGCCTGGTCTCTAACCTCAGAAACGCCATTTCTGTTGACGTCATCAAAATCACAGGACACCGGTAAAGGCTCAAGATCTCCCGGCCCATCAACATCCATAGTGTAAAATTTGCCACCACTGTGTCCCGTAGACCTGCTGTTTTTGTCCATGATCTGCTGGCAGGTTTTCATCAGATCTACAAGATAATATCTTTGTGTCAAAACTGTGTATCTACTGTCTGTTTTTACATTTTGTTTTTTAGGGCCGTGTAAACATGGGGCCATGAGCTGAGGATTTAGGGCCGCGTGGCTTGTCCTGTCGCCACGGACTGTGCAGGTTAGGATGTTTGGTTATACAAAAAAAGTAGGGCAATTTTATTGATAAGTTTGTTGAACTAGTCTACAGTGGTCGAGGTTATGGGTGTTGCGGTATGCTGTTGTATTGCATTTACGTTTTTATTCCGAGAAAGAGACTGATGTAGTTGTGTTGCATTTACGTTTTTATTCCGAGAAAGAGACTGCCTGTGACATAGGTTTCATCACTCGCTAGGGGGTTTTGTGTTAGACCCAGTTTCTAAACATTTTTGAAGTGTAAAAAGCTCTATGGTGAAATAAACAAAACGCGATATCTACATTGCGGAACAGCCCCATCACCTTGTGTAAAAGTCGGATGGCTCGAGGCCGACCAATCAGCAGTAAGGTGGGCTGAAGGTCGACCAATCAGAAGCGAGCTAGTGTGTACCGGTGTGTAAAATGGACGGGGATTATCTTTTGTTTTACCTACTTAAACACTAGTCATCCCTTTGTGGGATACAATTTTTTGTTATTTAAAAGCCCACCCTGGCTCTTGCCAGGGGCCACAATATAGCCTGACCATAATTATGGCCTAATGGCTAAACGCGGTTTCCGTGACCTCTCCACGGGTGATCCTCATTCACATGGTGGCACTTTGTGTCATCGGGTGTTTATCGCTTGCGTGATGTCCTAATGGGGTAAAATGTACTACTACTACTAATTTCGTCTTACCGGATGTTTTGTAATAGTTACATTGGTCTCCTCACGGACCGCACAGATACACACTTGCTCACTCCCGATTAGTCGACCTTTAGCCTAGCTAACTTCTAATTGGTCGACCTTAAGCAAGTTGACCTTGGCACAAGGTGAAGGGGATGTTCCCCAATGCCGTTGATATCGCGTCTTCTAAATTTCAGCATTCAAGCGCCTTTTACACCTCAAAAACATCGACAGACTGGGTCTAACACACAACCCCTTTAGAGAGGGATGTAACCTATGTCATAGGCATTCTCTTTCTCGGAATAAAAAATGTAAATGCAAGACATCCCAGAAAGCAAACAGAGCGGCACACCCATAACGTCCAGCTGGTTAGACCAGTCCAAGAAACTTATCAATGGAATGTGACCTATTTCTGTGGGAAAACTAACGTTTGTTTGACCGGATGTTTAATTTTGCCCCCGACAGAAAAAACTCCATCACCTTACTGGAGCTAGAACCCACGTCTTCCGCTTGAGAGCTAGCTGTTCATATTATCATTGGGTCAGTGCGGTAAAAAAAAAAAAGAAAGTTAAGTTCCCTTTACCCGCCAGTGGGTCAGCGGGCCTAGGAGGCCAGAATCAAATTTTGTATAAAACAACAGATGATGGCCTCGATGGATGGAATGGTCAACATCCTGCGGGTCACTTTCACGTTCTAAAACTTCACCTGGTTCCCATCTAAGGCTGGGTTTGTCGGAAAGCCAAGGTCATAGCTCCATGTGGATTTGAACCCACGACCCTCGGATCCGAAGGCCAGCTCCCAGCTGCTACATTACGGCAGCTACCAACGTGTCGGCAGAATGTTTCTAATTCTTCCATCTCCGGAAAATCTTCATCTTTTCTTTCACCGGCTGTAAGCTCCGGTGGAAAGTTTTGTACCTCTAGACTTTATACTTCTTCAAGAACCTGAGTGTTGCGTGCACATCTGTGTTTATAACAGATCTGACTTATTTGTATGCAGACTGTTGGTTCTTTACCTCTCAGTCAGATGCACTCCGACTTTTAAAGGAACCCCCCCCCCCCCCCCTCCACAGTCGACTCATACGACTGGCTTGTTGTGGAGGCAGTTGGTATATTTCTGTTTACCCCCACAACGGGGCCTCGGAACCCACATGGGGTTCTCTGGAATATTACAGAAAATATAGAAAGGGGAGGCAATAATAATTACTTCGAAATACAAAGGAGTTGTTTTCTTTTCCTTTTTTAAAATTTAAAGACGCTGTCTACGATTGGCCGGAATATGGGCACCCCATGCATACTGAGGACCAGCCGTTAACTCAGATGTTTTGAAAGAGGTGAGGGCTCGAAGACAACTTATCATAAATATCAGAAAGAGACAGTCATCATTTTTTTAGTCATGTTATGGGAAGAGGGGAAAATAGAACATGTTGTGACCACTGGAAAGATCTTTGGAAGGAAACACAAAGGAAGACAGCGCGAAAAGATTCTTAAAAGCAATTTTGTCATGGCGGGGTGTCAACACACGAACAGATACAGGAAGGCGCAGATCATGGAGACGCCTGATCGCCCACGCCAGTCAGCAAGACACGATGACTATAACCCAGAAAAAGCTTGTGGCTATATTTGTTGGTGTATTATAGATTCTTGCTAAGAGCATCTCTGGGACAAAGTAGTAAAGCTGTTCGCCTCGCAATCTCCAGGTCGCGACATCGTTTTGTGGACGCATCGTTCAGTCCATGAGAGAGCACTTTTCACAGTCATCCCTGAGGTCGTCAATACAGCTAGGGAGTTCGTGTTTTGTACGAAGTTTTTGAAAGGCGGCTAGTCGTTGTGTGCAGAGAGAGAGAGAGAGAAAGAATAGAGAGAGAGAGAGAGAGAGAGAGAGAGAGAGAGAGAGAGAGAGAGAGAGAGAGAGAGAGATGGGATGGGATGCAAAAATTTTTTTTTTCTTTTGTTAACTTTAATAGTAACCTGGCAAGGGAATAATTCTTTTCGTCAACACAGCATAGGAATCTTCATGAGCACCTTACTTAAAGAACACACACACACACACGCACACACACACACACACACACCTGGAATACTTACCAACACAAACAACATCTCCTGCAACGACCACCAAGTCAGAACCCGACAGAACTATTCGAGTCACTGGTAGCTCTTCTTTGTTGGTCATTATAAAAACATGTGGAGATCCAAACTTTTCAAACAGTTCACCGTGTTCATTTTTGACGTTCTGATATCCTGGACAACAACGTCATTCTATTAATGCAGGTTTTATCTTACTATTTACATAATGACAAATACAGGGTCAGCGAGAATGATTGCAGAGATTTTGAACTGTTATTATAAAAGAAGCATTTAATGTTCATCCACGTGATGCTAATGCAACTACTTATAATACTACGGCCGATTACTATTACAACACCTACAGCAACAACGGTCTTATTAACGTTTCCTGGCCCATCTACACACTTTCTCAGTCCGGTGTAGGTCAGAGGGGTGTCACGTTTACTGTTTTCTTCAAAAGAGTCTCTCGTGGGACCTAGGCTCAGGCTTTGGGTAGGGGGTTAGGGTTGAGTTCTAGATGTTTTGGGATCGTTAAAAGCTGTGTCGTCGTGTAGTATAGAACAAGCCACATTGGCGCTGATGTAATTGGAGGCAAGACAACGTGACACCTCTGTGACTTAGAAGAGTCTGAGAAAGCATGAATGAAAAGGTCAACCCGTGTGTAGATGGGCCAGGAAACGTAAATAGGACTACAAAAAATACTACGGCTGTTACACTTGGTGACAAGTAAAGACACTCACCTTTGTCTGTCTCACCCCTCTTCTCAAAGTCAACCAACTTGTGCCCATCCGTGTTGAAGAATCCCCACTCCCCACTCAGGTCCAGTTTCTCCAGTGATGCGTTGAAAATGGAGACCGTCTGGGTACAATACTGGTAGTCGATGAAAGCCGCTACGACCGCTTTGAAATTGTGCGTGATATAATCTACACGGATCCTTGAATTGCCATCAGCTACAGACACCGTCGAATTACTGTGATTACCGTAGGAGATCACCGGGTTGACTGTCTTGAGAACCTGCGCGTTGAGTATAATGTAGAAATGAGGTGGAGGTAACTCTATGGTACACAAAACAAGGTCAATATTTGGGGGGAAACACAATACAACATAAACACCCACCCACCCGCACGCACACACAGTCAAACGTACAGTTTATTGCCATGCCTCAAGACCACGCAGCCCCCTAGTTTACTGCATTTGACTTTTAACGGTGGAGGGGGGCTAACTAGTCGGTCAACAGCAACTGGTGCCCTAAGACACACAGTGTTACAAAACGATGATGACGACAGCTTGGTGAGCACACGACGAAAAACATGAACAATGACTACAATCACAACATCAACAACTACAACAGCACAAGACACCACTCCCCGCTATGTCTCAACCCTTGATATCGAAGGACGGGCACGTACCATATAGCCAGTCGGTGGATTTGGATTGAAGACGCAGTCCACAAGAACAGGGTCTTCCTTGTTGATGATAGTTGGCATCTCCTGGACGGCCTTGACATTTGGTCCCAATTTTTGGCGGGCATACTGGCAGTTTCTTTCCATGCCTGGATAATGGATTGTGACAATCAGGCTATTAATAGATTGTGACAATCAGACTATTAATGGATTGTGACAATCAAGCTATTATTGGATTGTGACAATCAGGCTATTAATAGATTGTGACAATCAGGCTATTAATGGATTGTAACAATCATGCTATTTATGGATTGTGACAATCAGGCTATTAATGGATTGTCACAATCAATGTATAAATGGATTGTGACATTCAATGCACTAATGATTGTGGCATTCAGTGTAATAAAGAATTGGGGCATTAACTCAGTTGTGGTTTATGACAACCATAATCGCCAGCAGCACCACAACCACCAGCACCATCATTACCACCATAAATCTACTAATAAGTATTTGTGTCTATTCATGTATTCATGAAGTTAAAGGTTAGGAATTCATGAAGTGGGACATTCAATATATTATACAACTGTGGAAATCAACCCTTTTGAACACCGAATGTATTCAACAGTGCTGACAACCAATAACTCAGTCTGACAGGTAATGTATTAGTAGACTGGTATAGTCAGTAGAGATGCTTGGTAACCTAGGTGAAAGCTGCAGATATTAGATTAACAGACGACAAAAGCATATTATGGATGTATGCAAAACGTATAGAGAATCTTCTTCTTCTTCCGGCTGTAAGCTTCAACGAAATGTCATGGTTGTTCGTTCATTTGGACGTTGGCTTTGTGTCAGGGCCTGAGTTTTGCGTGTACATCCGTTTTACTGACTTACTTATTACGTAAAGAGGATGTCTTTGAAGAGATTAATTGACAAATACCGTGTTTTCCAAGGTCTTATACACATATTTACCCCGAAAAGAGGCCATGGGGCTTATTTTTCAGACGATGCCTCTTTTTCATGTGCAAAAATACATTTTTATTCAAGAAAGAAAATATCCATTTATTCAGGTACATAATTATTCATTTATTAAGAAAACTGAATGCATTTAAACCATTACAAACATTACAAGCATTTATTTAGAAAAAAAAAAAAATACAAAAATTGCTTTACAATTCAAAAGTCCTTTATGTGTTTCAACAGGCGAGCGAAATGCGTACTTTTGGCTGGCAATCTAGATAAGGATAATATTTGGAATAGGGCTTATATTTGGGATAGGTCTTATATTTGGGATAGGGCTTATATGTGGGATAGGGCTTATATTTGGGATACGTCTTATATTTCGGATATGACGTATATTTGGGATATGGCCTATATTTGTAATATGGGCTTATATTTGGGATATGACTTATATGTGGAATAGGGCTTATATTTGGAATAGGACTTATATTTGATATATGACTTATATGTGGAATAGGGCTTATATGTGGAATAGGACTTATATTAGGGATAGGGCCTATATTTGGAATAGGGTTTATATTTGGGATAGTGCTTATTCTTGGAATATGGCTTATATCTGGGATAGGGCCTTTTTGGGGATAGGGATACTATTTGGAATAGGGCTTATTTTTGGGATAAAGCTTATTTTTTGTAATAGGGCATATATTTGGAATAAGGCTTATATTTGGGATATGGCCTATATTTGGAATGAGGCTTGTATTTTAGCTAAGAAAATCACATCAAAAAAGGGGGTGGATGTGCATACTGGCATCCTTCACGATCCGAATATCAAGGACGGCTAAAACAAACTTAAATTCGTCAACCGTACTAAACGTTGACATCCTGCATGATCAAGAAGAACTGGCTCATAAACAGCACACTCTCCTGAAAGCTGAGGTAGGTCAAGCGCTAGGGTGGTCTGGAGAGGGCAATGATGGGGGATGCAGTTTCTGGGAGAGGAGGCAGAGGCTGACCCCTATAACTGTGGATTCAGTACATTGAAGATGTACTGGCTATGTAAACACACGGAGCTGGGGAACTGACTACAGAAAGAGAGACTTTCCGGCGTGCCGTGAAGAGAGCGAGGTTCTATAAAGGATATACTGATTGATTGTTATTAAACGCCATAACTGTTTGGATATAACAGTAATGGAGGGTATGGCTCTTAAAAGTAGGGACGACAGAGGAGGACCAACACCACAATGGGACATGATATCAAGGTCACTATGTGAATGAAAGTTCACGATGCAGGACTGTTAGCTTTGTGGTGTGTCGGGATGAGAGTAGTGTTTTCAGTTTGACATCAAACTAACACCAACACATCTAACTGGACATCTGTTGTTCCGGTTATCCTTCCTCATCTGTCAAAATGATCTTATACAAATAAAAACCAAAATAAAAACACTACGAGTGAACGGAACCCACCCAAATCAGTGTCACATCTGACTTCTGAAACCTTGAACTGCAGCAATGGTGAGGTCAAAGTGGAATCCCGCACCGAAGCAACAGAAAGGCAGATCTGATGAAACATCAAAACGTTAATAAGACACACACACACACACACACACACACACACACACACACACACACACACGCACACACGCACATTTTGTAAAGGACCGTTTTCCTGCATTTAGTAGATGTATGGTTCTAGCCGCCCGTCATATTTATATATCATTCGGCGCTCAATGGTTTAAAGTTTGAAGTTTGAACAAAGGATCGTCATCATGGCACACGGATAGTAACCCATAAGTGTTCCGTTCTTCTTCTAACTCAAGTCTGAGTCCTAAGAAGCTCAGCACAGTGCACAGGCTCTGTAGCACAGGCGAGGATTCTAAAATACTTTGGGTAGAATTTTAACTCAAAATTTTGCCGGGGCAGCGCCGTTAGGCTACTCTTTTCGATTTCCAACTGCCAAGGGATTTTTTTACGCGGGCAACAATGCGTCCGGTCTTTCTACTCAGAGACCAGGGGATATTACTAGGCGCAAAAGCTCACGTGAAAATATCCCAACCCCTACCGGGGATTGAACCCGGAACCTCTAGCACTCGAGGCGGACACCATGCCTCGAGACCACGCAGCCCCCGCGCTTGAAATGTTCAACATTATACAGGTGACCTTATTCTCCAGAAGATTTCCTCGTATTTATGGTAAACATTTGGTCGACAATTAGAATATGCTGATAGTTAATTTCATCTTCTCTTTCATGTTCACTGGTTCTAAACTCCGGTGGAATGTTCTGGTTGTTCGTCCACTTCTAGACTTTGGTTTTGTTTCAGGATTATAGCGCGTATCCATTGTACAGATCTGACCCATTTGTATGCAGACTTTTAGTGCCTCGCCTCATGAAGGTCACTCCGATTTAGAAATACACAACCCTAATTTGTCACCTTGTACGACATATTTGCTGTGGGGGTAATGGTTCGATTCTGCCCCCCCCCCACCCCATCCGCCATTTGTGACCCGCAACTCACATTAGAGAAAAGGCCCCCAGCGAATTTACATCCAGTCTCTTTGTCAACGTGTTCATTTTGGTTAGACTATACATGTCAAGAAAAAGAAGAAGAAGAAGAAGAAGAAGAAGAAGAAGAAGAAGAAGAAGAAGAAGATGATGATGATGATGATCAGGGGAGAGAAGGAAGAAGAAGAAGAAGAAGGAGGAGAAGAAGAAAAAGATCATGGTAGAAAAGGAAGAAGAAGAAGGAAAACAAGGAGGATGAGGAGAAAAAGAAGGAGATGAAGAAGACACTTTTCTCTAGGATGGGGTAGACAGCTTCACGCCAACCTTCCCTGATCGCCATTTACGACATGTATGGTAGGTTACATTATTCGAAGTTGTTGCTTCCCTTGTTGGATCCCGGCAACACAGGGACCCCTTTAACGACTGAGAGCTATCTAGCCTATTGTGCTAAACTCATTATTGTATAGTCCAGTGATCACTTGTGGGTGATGTTGTTGACATCACCGCCGTTTACTTCCTAGGACAATTCCTGGTACCCATTTGAAACTGGATCAGCTGGTCAGCCAAGGTCAATGTGGTGCAGCCAACAAATGATTTCAACGACCCATTTCGCACCATTGGCGCATGGGAAATACTGCGTTAGACATTTGTATAATGCACACTGTTACCTGCTTTACTATCACTCCCAAATATTTCTTCTTCTGCTTCCATTTTTATTCTTCGTTTGCCATTAAAGAGGCTGCTGGTACGATACGTTGCCATTACATTTAGGCAACGACGTTTGCGTCTTTTGGCCTAACTTATCCGATTTCAGCAAACAATTAAGTAGCTGCTTTTTAATACTTTATGTGGTAGTCTATTCTCTCTCTCTCTTTCTCTCTCTCTCTCTCTCTCTCTCTCTCTCTCTCTCTCTCTCTCTCTCTCTCTCTCTTCCCTCTTACCCGCTCATAAAAGTTCCGCATTAATTGAAGATGGCCGGCCCATGGATCACGTTGACATTGTCAATGCCTTAGAGAGATAGGACGTTCCGGAGACTTTTGGAAGCAACGTGTACACATCACTACTAAGAATACGAGAGTTGGGAGTAAAAGTCGGCACAGTAAAGCATGAGAAGTACACCGGACGCACACGAAGTCTTGTCAACCAGCATTCGACTGACAGCGCGACGCTGATGTTGAAGGGGGATGTCTGAGCACCTATTGATGTGTCCGGAGTGCTATAAAGATAATCCAACTCATAACTGGTACTTATATCTGGCGAAACAACAAACCAAGGTGCTTTATTAATATCCTACACCAAACAGGAACATCAACAGGTCACAGGACAGTCTAATATTTCATGGGGTGGTATGTAGTCGTAGGACCTAGGCTGCCTTCTCTCGTGGGACTTGGATAGGTTGGGGTTAGGGTCAGTTCTAGATGTTTTGGGGTCGTTAAAAGCATCAGAAAACCGGAAAACCCAGTAAAAAAAAAAAAAAAAAAAAGCCCAAAAAGCCACACACAAAAAAAGCCAAAAAAAGAAAACAGCAAAAAAAAAAAAAAAAAACAACAACAAAGACACTCTCAGCTCACGCACATACGCATGTATGATGCGAAAAAAGAAAAGCCCAAAAAGATGTTAAATGTCAGACCCTGAAAAGGCCCTTGAGTTTGGTGGCTCGGTGACATCTACAATTTGATTCGAGACGGTGTGCCTGGCGGATGCCCTAATCCCGGAAACCACAGCGTGCTGACTAGATGGTGACCAAACTAAGTGTTACCACACGCAGCAAATAAACAACGCCAAGATAGAGTCGCTGCTCATTCCAGGAGCTGGCTGAAATTGGCAAGAATCTTTTATTTAAGACTACTATGACCATGAGGGAAACCAGTCCTACTACCCTGTAAAATGTCGGACTGTCCTGTGACGTCATCCGGGGGAGAGGGGGGGGGGGTAGGAAATCATTAAAGAACCCAAAACAACTAACTTGCAACACCGGCGGAGAGCTCTTGATGAGTGAGCCGCTGTCAGATCGCATCTTGTTGTCTGTGAGATCACAGTTACACGCAGCATGACGTCCACCGGCACAGTTCCCATTGACGCCACATGCACACTTGTCGTCTTCACCGAAACTGCCGAACCATCCTGGTCAATCCAACACAAAAAAAGTAAACATTCGGTTAGTAGGCAAGGTAGCGGGTGTGACAGAATAAGGGAGAGCGATAAGAAGGGCGATAAATGCCGAAGGATAGGGGGACAGGTTATAGATCAGGACTATCCAAACTGGAGGCCAATGGTTAGGAACCAGGTCTGCAGAGGCATAACAAATGGACCACGGATCATCACCAAACAGTGAACTTTCTAGACTGGAGCTAGGGCTCAGGCTGTCTGGCTCATGATGATCCACACGGTCAACATTTGGGTCCCTGAGTTAATTTAGTTGAATAATGAGTTAAATTAAGTTATAGATGTTGCATTATTACAGCAGCGGAGGATGTATAATATATATACTGTGTCAGTACAGAAGCAACAGGAGATAAACATTGTCACATTATAAAGCAGACGATATTGATATTTCATCAAAATTGTAGTTGATATAGATATTGCAACGGTATAGTAGATGGTATAGATAATGCAACAGTATAGGGGCAGAGGATACAGATAATGCAACAGTCAGAGGAAATGCATTTTGCAGCAATATAGAAGTAGGTGTAGATATTGCAACACGATGAGGACGGAGCATGCATGGGAATGCCCCGAGTGCTGTGATGTCAATTCTTGACTTAACTTAACTCGTGATAGGAAAATACGATACGAAAGAGAGTATCGGAATATAAGATATGAAAGTAACTGCGTCAATATCGGAATATCAGAAATGAAAGATAGTAACTGCGTCAGTATCGGAATATCAGATACGAAAGATAGAAACTGTGTCAGTATCGGAATATAAAATATGAAAGATAGTAACTGCATCAGTATCGCAATATCAGATATGAAAGATAGTAACTGCGTCAGTATTGGAATATCAGATATGAAAGATAGTAACTGCGTCAGTATCGGAATATCAGATATGAAAGATAGTAACTGCGTCAGTATCGGAATATCAGATATGAAAGATAGTAACTGCGTCATTATCGGAATATCAGATATGAAAGATAGTAACTGCGTCAATATCGGAATATCAGATATGAAAGATAGTAACTGCGTCAATATCGGAATATCAGATATGAAAGATAGTAACTACGTCAGTATCGGAATATCAGATATGAAAGATAGTAACTACTACAGTATCAGAATTAGTTAGTTAGTTAGTTATTCCTCTTGTGCCAAAGATGGCGCATAGGGCAGAGGTCATAGCTTTCCACGTCCGTCGGTTCGTTGCCACTTGATGTAGGTCTTGAGTGCGACTGAGACCTATGGTTGAGCTCTCCCTTGTGATGGTTCTACGGAGAGTTTCTTTTGGTCTTCCCTGTTTTCTTTTAACCTCTGGTGACCATATGAAGGCTTGGTGGGGAAGTCTCTGTATGTCCATTCTGAGTACGTGACCGATGTAATTCCAGCGACGCATTCTAATAAAATCAGACACATATTTTTGTTTTGTTTCCTGTCTTATAGATGTATTGGACCTAAAGTCCGACCAGTGAACATTCAATAGCTTTCGGAGACATCTATTCTCGAAAGCGACTAGTTTCTTATCGATTGATACTGATGATTTCCAACTCTCACAACCATAAGTTAGCACTGGGATAACACAGGAATTGAAGACCTTAAGTTTCGTGTTGTTGCTGAGTGATCTTGACTTCCAAATGTTTGACAGTTTGTTAAAGGCACTTGATGCTAACGCGATTCGAGTCGTTATTTCTGATGTTGTATCTCCCGCAGAGGTTATCTTGCTCCCTAAGTATGTGAAGCTGGTGATTTTTTCAAGAACAATATCCTTTAGTTTGATGTCTTTCGACTCGTTGGTAAGATCGATGATTTTCGTTTTGGCTGCGTTGACCTGAAGGCCGATTTGGCTTGAAATATTCTGGAGGCGGTCCATTTTTTCCTGAGCTTCTAGATGTGTTGTGCTCAGGAGTGCTAGGTCGTCAGCAAAGTCAAGATCTTCGAGAACTTTGTCGACCCATTTGATGCCTAGATGTGTATCCTGTGTGCATTTGCGCATGACCCAATCGAGTGCTATTCCGAAAAGCATCGGTGACAAGACACATCCTTGTTTCACGCCTGTTTCTACTGGGAACCAATCAGAGTTACCAGATTCCGTTCTAACAAGGCAGCGGGAATCGGTGTAGAAGGCCTTTATAATATTGACATATTTATCTTGGAAACCATAGATTGTGAGTAGCTTCCAGAGTGTAGGGCGGTGTATGCTGTCAAAGGCCTTCTGAAAATCAACAAAGTTGATGATGAGTTGGGATTGAAACTCTACTGACTCTTCTACGATGGTCCTGAGTGTGAATATATGGTCGATGCATGACCGATTTGGTCTGAATCCTGCTTGTTCTTCTCGGAGTCTTGCATCTATTGGCTTTTTCAGTCTCTGCATTAGCATGCTGCAGAACAGTTTTCCTGGTACGGAGAGTAGGGTGATACCACGCCAGTTGTTGCAGTCTGCTAAATCACCTTTTTTGGGCAGTTTGAATATAACACCTTCTTTCCACTGTTGCGGTGGGGATTCATTTAGCCAAACATCACTGAACAGCTGTAGCAAATATTGTAAGGTGTTTTCGTCTGCTGCCTTTAACATTTCAGCTGAGATTTCATCTGCGCCAGTAGCCTTGTTCTTCTTTAGTTTTTTTATTGCTGATTTAAGTTCTAACATTGTGAATGGTTCACAGAATATCAGAATATCAGATATGAAATATAGTAACTGCGTCAGTATCGGAATATCAGATATGAAAGATAGTAACTGCGTCAGTATCGGAATATCAGATTTGAAAATTTGTAACTGCGTCAGGCTCAGAATGTAGGATACCCATTTTTTCCCCAGCAGTGTAGGAGCATTTGTTTCGCTAGTAATGATAAGAATATGTTCAATAATAACGGCGAAGACTGAGTTGAAATAACACCACAGTGCTCGGCACAGTCTCACAAGCGCCCTGTCATCATTTTCAGCAGCCATCGCAGTTTAAAATCGGATGGTACCAGAGCGCTCTGACAATATGCCAGTTTTGAGTTTCTCCCGAATGTTTTGTATCGACCAAATCCCCTCTCTGGCCAGTCCTGGGTGCTCCATTATCTTCTGTCAGCGATACTTCCTTTGTACCTTCTCACTGTTTACTCGCCCCCCAAAGAACCTATCTATCTGCCTGTTAGTTTCATATCATACCCACATCTCTCATCTGTTCTCTTTAGCATTCTGAGTCATTGAGGTTCTTGCTGCAGATATCACCCGCCTCCATTTATCTCTCCATCATCTTCTTGGTCTGCCTCGTGGTCTACGACCATTCATCTCCCTGGTGTATAGAGTTTTCACTTCTCTGTCATCTGACATTCTTCCAATATGCTCAAACTATTTCAGTCTATTAGCTCTCATGATGTCAGTGTTCAGTGGTGATTTAAACAGGTTATGAATTTCGTTTTTGTTTCTCACTCTACATTCCCTGCTGTTTGCATCTTTGATACCTGAATTGGGGGGGAGGGGGGGGGGAAGCAGTGACAGTAAAAAAGCAAAATAAATAACAAATTACCTTTTTGTGTTTTGCCATCGCATGTCGTGTAGTTGACCATCTGCGAGACAGGAGCATTGAGACATTCCAGATCTATATGTTGTTTACATTGGCCAGATTTCTGAACCAGTGCCTATACACCAGTGACCAAGATAACAATTAATCAACACAGCATTTTGGCTACACACGTTCAAGTCTAGAGGCAAACATAATTACTTGGTGAGTCCCCAAACTTTCCACGGTACGCCATGTCCGAAGACCTTGAGAACTGACTCTCTCCACCCCCACTCCCCTTCCGCCGTTCACCCCAGGGAACTAACCACAGAACTCTGGATCATGACATTGTTAGAAGCACTCGTTAGGCTCTCATTGTTTGTAGTGGCTTCCGGTTCATTTCATGCCAGAGAATGAGTTTAACCATTTCAAAAAATACTAAAGTTGAATTTACTAGGGTGATTTGATTTCGCGCGCGCGTGTGTGTGTGTGTGTGTGTGTGTATGTGTGTGTGCATGCATTAAAAAGAGTACAGATACAATACTGGTATCTTCCAGCAAAAGAAGAAGAAGAAGAAGAAGAAGAAGAAGAAGAAGAAGAAGAAGAAGAAAAAGAAGAAGAAGAAGAAGAAGAAGCAGAAGAAGAAGCAAGAAAAAGAAGAAGAAGAAAGAGGAAGAAAGAAGAAGAAGACAGAAGAAGAAAGAGGAAGAAAGAAGAAGAAGACAGAAGAAGAAAGAGGAAGAAAGAAGAAGAAGAAGAAGAAGAAGAAGAAAGAAGAAGAAAGAAAAAGAAGAAGAAGAAGAAGAAGAAGCAGAAGAAGAAGAAGAAGAAGAAGAAGAAGAAAAAGAAGAAGAAGAAGAAGAAGCAGAAGAAGAAGAAGAAGAAGAAGAAGAAGAAGAAGAAGAAGAAAAAGAAGAAGAAAAAGAAGAAGAAGAGAAAAAAAAGAAGAAGAAGAAGAAAAAGAAGAAGAAAAAGAAGAACAAGAAGAAGAAAAAAGAAGAAAAAGGAGAATTAACATCCTTAAACTGTTCCCTCCTACATCCCCGACACAGCCAAAACTTACAAGAACCTGCGCTGGTGTAGCGATGGCTCCGCTTGAGTGTTTGTACTTGATGTCGTAGCAGGCTGAAGTGGTAGTGTCCAAGTTGTCTGGGTTGGGGACCAAACCTCCAATGGCTATATCCGAGAATTAGAATATACATTAAAAACATGAATCTTTCTTAATTGTCAATAATCGTCGTCGTCATCAACTTCTTCTTCCTCATCGTCATTCTCACCACCAGTCATTAAATTGGCGGGTTTTGAAAAGAAGTCATTCTCAATAGACACGGCTTCACAAAGTTGTACACATAAGGTCAGTGGTTTCCTTTTCAATTTATTTTTCAGACACACGTGCATATATTTTATCAGTGATTGTCTTTTTCCCTCCTTCAAATTCATATTTCCTACACAAAAAACGGACACAAGTCTTCACAAGTAACCATGGTGATACAGTGGTAGATTCGCATAGTTTCAAAGCCGGTATTTACCGTGCAATCCCCTTATTTTCATTCTCCCCCTTTCCCCACAGACCTTAATTAAGGCTCCTAACCTCACTAAGTATGATGATCAGACAGTTTTTAAATTGTTAGGAAATTTGCTGAAAAGTAAAGGCGACGAGGAAGTAAATTGCCACACACATCTCACGTGTCTAAAACATTTGCACTGCTGACACTTTAAATTTCCTGGACGTACGGATAGATTAGCTTGTAGGTAGACAGAACAAAGGATCGAACAATATGAACATAAGTCGTCGCCTTGTGGGATGCTATTTTTTGTTGGTTTGAAGCTCCCACGTCGGTTTTTTCCAGGGGCCCTAAATATAGCCGGGCCATGAATATGGCCCAACAGCCGAACGAGGTTTCCCAGGTCTCTCCATGGGTGATCCTTTTGTGTCACCGGGTGTTTGTAGCTTGTGTAAAGACCTGGTGGGGTACAACTTACTCACCTACCGAGGATCCAACTCCACTGCCGTTACAGCCTGTGTTTACCCGTTTGCAGTATAAACAGGAAGGGCTTTTTGTTTTGTTTTGCGAAGGATCGAAAGAAGAAATTTTATTTCATGAGTCGGACTTTATTTGAAGATAGAATGTACAGATTTCACTGTCTTCTTCTTCTGCGTTTAACTGAACCATGGAACTTTATTTTCATTAGTTCACCGATTTAGCCAGCCGGATCGTTTTACATTCTGCCTTTGCAATGTGGTCTCGAGGCATGGCGTCCGCCTCTAGGGCTGGAGGTCCCGGGTTCAGGCCCCGGTGAAAGCTGGGAGGTTTTAACGTGGACTTCAGGTAATTTTTCCTTGGTCTCTGAGTAGTAAGATCAGACGCCCGTCAAAAAGCCCTTGGCAGTTGGACACCAAAAAGAGTAGCCTAACGACGCTGCCCGGGCAAAATTTGGAGTTAAAAATCTACCATGAATCCTCGCTGGTGCTACAGAGTTCTTGCTGTGCGCAGAGATTTTTTGGACTCAGACTTGACTTACATTACCTGTGCACCATGATGTTGATCCCTTGTATAATCCTAAAACTATATGTAGAATACATTTTAGGTTCATCTACGAAATTACACAATACGAGTACTAAGTACAAACACGAAACATGATATGGTAAATCCATGCTTTCATATACATGAATCTACATGTACGCGTGTACACGTTGTTGCTAAAAAGAAAGGTGCCGGTTGTTGTTGTTGTTGTTATCGATCCAGCGGCGCATGAGCTTTCGCCCTTTGGCCCAATGCCATGTAGTGGAATTTGCATGTTTTTACAGGCTGTTCTTTTCCTCCGTACAAGGTGTTCCACTTGTCTGGTCGCGGAGGGAGTAGCGTTCTTCTTGTCTCACTGAGTTTTGGGCACTCAAAGAGATGGTGTTCAACAGTTTCGTAGGGGTAGTTACATAGCTGGCACTCTGGAGAGTGTTGTGGCTGTATTCTGTTTAGGTGTCCATTGAGTGGAGTATGTTGCGTTCTAAGATGGTGGCCTGGTCCTTTCTTGTTTAGATGGTTAATGCTGTCATTAGGATCAGGGCCAGACATATGTCTATAAACCTCTCTTCCAGTGTCTCCCATGGCCCATCTGTTCAACCAAGCCTCTTTGTTTAAAGCTCTTATAAGTGTTTTTGCTGTCTGGAGGGCTCTCGCTGTAGGTGGTTGTTCTTGTGTTGCTCCTTTCTTTGCCAATCTGTCAGCTCTGTCATTACCTGGTGTGCCGGAGTGACCTGGAATCCACTGCATCACTATTCTGATGTTGTATGAGGTAATAAGCTGATCAGCATCCAGGATTATCTTGGCTATGTCAGTTCTGCAGCGTTCACTGCCCTCCAGAGCTTGAAGGGCAGACATTGAATCTGTGAAGATGACAATATTTTGGACCTTTGAAGGGTAAAACATCCATTACAGTCGTTAGGTGGTATACTGCTGTTTCCAGTGCAATTATTTCAGCTTCATAATTTGAACAGAATTCCCCGCATGCATCAAAAATCTCTTCAACAGATCCATCAGGATAATCTATGTAGATTCCGTCACCTGCTTTAATGGTAGCTTTAAATGCTGATCCATCAGTATAGACATGTATCTATTCTTGGGGGTAAGAATCAACGGTCTTTAGTGATGAGTTCATAAGAGCGATTGGGTCGGACTGTTTGGTTTCCTAGCCTACCAATTTAATTCAGACTTCTGGAGCTTTAAAGCGAGCATGTGGTGGTAGGTTTCTTGCAACATTCTGAATTCCTTGACGTCTTTCTGGGAGGTGGTATCTGTCCTGAATTTCATTAACACAGTGTAAAACCGATTTGTGCTTTATTCTTTGTTTGGATTCCCAGTTTTCTACAAGATGTCTATTAGGATGGTTACGATTTTTTCTAACGCATCTTTCATAAATTTCTAAAGTGGTTTTTTCACTCCGCAACCCGAGGGGTTCCACATTTGTATGGATTTCACATGCAGAAGTTGGTGTAGTCTGCATAGCTCCGCAGATTAATCGGAGGGCATTATTTTGTACTCTGTCAAGAGTCTCTAGGTTGGTTTTGGAGCAAGTTGTAAGCAGTGAGTTGTTGTACTCTATCACAGAGCGAACATATCCTAGATATAAGCCCCTCAGAGTTTCCTTGTCTGATCCCCATGATGTACCTGCAAGTCTGTTTAATAACTGTAAACGCCTCAATGCCTTATTCCATACGTTTTCAATATGATTCTTGAGGCTGAGCTGCCGGTCAAGTGTGACTCCAAGGTATGTAGGATGCTCTTCTTTCATCACCTGGTGTTTGTCTAACCTCAGGTTGTTATTCTTCCTTGCTACTTGATGGCTTTTGGTAAAGATTGTGTAGACCGTCTTTGCACAGTTAACCTTGAGTTTCCATCTTTGGCAGTACTCATGCAGTCTTCTAAGGTCTCCATTCAGTCTTTGGGCTCCACTTTCCACATTTTCATGACTCTGCCATATTGCTAGGTCATCAGCGTACAAGGCTTTTTCGGCCATGATTTGTTCTGGCAGGTCATTGATAAAGATTAGGAACAGTGTACAGCTCAATGATGAGCCTTGTGGCAAGCCCTCCTCCAAGACTTCTTTAGAAGAGATTGCGTTGTGCATCTTAGTCAAAGGTGCCGGTAACCACCAACAAATTTATATTACAGTAAGGCACGACAAAATATACTTAAAAAGTGTTGATGCTGCGTACTGTTGCATACCACCAAAAGAAAAGCCCTCAGTGAAGACGTATACATTCTTCCATTCTTCTGTACTTTACAGACGGAGACAGGCATGCAGTCGAACAGACAGGCAGGCAGAGAGAGAGAGAGAGAGAGCCAGAGAAGCAGGTAGGTGGATTAGGACAGACAGAAAGATGTCTGCACTCACACACAAACACACACACAAACACACACACACACACACACACAGAGAGAGAGAGAGAGAGAGAGAGAGAGAGAGAGAGAGAGAGAGAGAGAGAGAGAGAGAGAGAGAGAGAGAGAGAGAGAGAGATAGAGACTACATAAACCAGAGGGATCAGAAAGATTTCAGAACTCAAGCTTACCATTCTCAATGTCAACAATGGTTGTAGGAAACTGACACCTCACGGCCATCTCGTCCACCCCGCCTGTTCCGGCTGGGTCGATGGTGTAGTCTCCGTTGACAATCGGAGCCTCACCTTTGACGGCCTTCTGGCCGCTCAGCTGTTGCTTCATGATTGCACAGGTAGGGAACACGTCTACAGGTCAATAAGACAAAGCAAGAACGTAATAAAGGTAACTGCAGTTAGGCTAACATCAAGGAGCAGCAGTGGCGGGATCTGATCACTTCTTATGTGTGATATTTTTATTCTCGTCGTTTCGCTGTTGAGAGTATACGTGCGAAGCTAGCATAGTAGTACATAGCCAGTAACTGGTAGCTTTTACACGTTACCGTTTCTGAGTAAGTAGTCTTAGCATGCAGCGTGCGTTCTGTATCGCTATGTTCGAGACGTAAAGCGAGTGGTGAATTTGTAATAAATAGTAAACAGTAACAATAAATAGTAAACAGTAACAATAAATAGTGAACAGTAACAATAAATAGTAAACAGTAACAATAAATAGTAAACAGTAACAATAAATAGTGAACAGTAACAATAAATAGTGAACAGTAACAATAAATAGTAAACAGTAACAATAAATAGTGAACAGTAACAATAAATAGTAAACAGTAACAATAAATAGTAAACAGTAACAATAAATAGTAAACAGTAACAATAAATAGTAAACAGTAACAATAAATAGTAAACAGTAACAATAAATAGTAAACAGTAACAATAAATAGTAAACAGTAACAATAAATAGTAAACAGTAACAATAAATAGTAAACAGTAACAATAAATAGTAAACAGTAACAATAAATAGTAAACAGTAACAATAAATAGTAGAATATTGCATTTTCGTTGGCAATGGAGAGTGAAAGCGGCGTGTACAGCCTTTACATGAACGTCTCGCGGCTAAGAGGTAACTAAACACAACATGAGGTTTGTAATTACAAAACACAACAAAATGTCTGTAACTAAAAAATATAGTTTAAGGTTTATAACTATAAAACACAAAACAAAATTTGTAACTACTAATCACAGTATAAAGTTTGTAACTACTAAACACAGCACACGGTTTGTAACTACTAAACACAGCATAAAGTTTGTAACTACTAAACACAGCACAAAGTTTGTAACTACTACACACAGCATAAAGTTTGTTACTACTATACACAGCACAAAGTTTGTAACTACTATACACAGCACAAAGTTTGTAACTACTAAACACAGCACACGGTTTGTAACTACTAAACACAGCACAAAGTTTGTAACTACTATACACAGCACAAAGTTTGTAACTACTAAACACAGCACACGGTTTGTAACTACTAAACACAGCATAAAGTTTGTAACTACTAAACACAGCACAAAGTTTGTAACTACTAAACACAGCACAAAGTTTGTAACTACTAAACACAGCACAAAGTTTGTAACTACTAAACACAGCATAAAGTTTGTAACTACTAAACACAGCACACGGTTTGTAACTACTAAACACAGCATAAAGTTTGTTACTACTAAACAGAGCACAAGGTTTGTAACTACTAAACACAGCACAAAGTTTGTAACCACTAAACATGGCTCAAAGTTTGTAACTACTAATCACAGCGTAACTTTTGTAACTACTAAACATAGCACAAAGTTTGTAACTACTAAACACAGCACAAAGTTTGTAACTATAAAACATAAAGTATGTAACCACAAAGCACAACACAAAGTAGGTAACTACAAAGCTAGAATGGAAAAGAATTGACCCGTAAAGCGGAAATAGAGCTTTTCGGCCAATTTTTATCAACAGGCTTATTAATTCTTTCAGTATCA